ATTTCATGGCAGGCGCAGCACTTTGTGAACCTCCAAGTGCAGATTTCGTGGCAGGCGCAGCACTTTGTGAACCTCAAAGTGCAGATTTCATGGCAGGCACAGCACTTTGTGAACCTCGAAGTGCAAATTTCGTGGCAGGCGCAGCACTTGGGCTTTCAGATGCTCACTCTCTCACTCCTTCACGTTCATTCACACTTACACTCACTCTCGCTCACACTCACTCTCGCTCACTCTCACTCTCACTCTCATTCGCACTCTCACTCTCACTCACTCTGACTCTCTCACTCCTCACCGTCACTCTCACTCACACTCACATTCACACCCACTCACTCTTCTCATTCACACACACTCACACTCACACTCACACTCACACTCAAACTCACACTCACACTCACTCACTCACTCACTCACTCACTCAGGCACTCACTCACGGTACTGCGAGCCAATGTCAAGCTAGATATGCAAGGGGTACTTTACATCACCATCATCACCACCATCATCACCACCACCATCACCACGATCTCCACCTTCATCACCACCATCACCTCCTTGGACCTCAATGCATCTAGATCTCTAGACCTTCTGCTACACCTCTAGACCTCACACACACACTGTCTGGGGTCTCTTGCCGGGATAATTTTCCTCTCAATTCTGTATAAATGCAGCATGGAGGCCCCTTGCAACGAGAGTCGAACTCCATGCTCAGCCGCTTGTTTGCTACAGACCATGCTGAGCGTAGTCGTATTCTATAAGTGCTGCCTCAGCTCACTTGTCAACATCAAATTTGTGTGAGTCCTCTGACAGCTCCAAGAATGCTAGAATGATCCAAAATTATAGCCTTGGCGCAGCTGGCATGCAGCAAGTACTCCAGCCAACCCCACTCAGGAGATCGGCGAGTCACAGGCACTGCGAAGGGCTGATCGGGAGCCTTGTGAAGCTCCATCAGGCCGGGCGACCGGCCCTTCGACGGGGGCTCGGACCATCAAATGTTTTGCCCAGACCCACTCGAGACAAACAACCCTCACATGGAAATGAATGTGCTTGGTCGAAGCTCTCTTGAAATAAAAACCTATCAGCGTTGCCATGACTGCAGCTCTGCGAGCCTTCTTCATGATATGTGATCTCTGTCTGTAGGGCTATTTTGCCACCATTTCTGTTTGTGAAATGTCCGCTGCTTACCCTGTTGTGAGTGCAACGTTGAGATAGTATAGGGCATGCATCCCTCCACAACATAGGACTGAAATGAGCCTTTCATGGAGCCAAAAAGCCAGCGCTCGAACTGCAGAAGCACAAATATACATATTATTGTTTATATTTTTTTTGTTTCATATCTATCTATCTATCTATCTATGGCTATATGTATATATATATATGTTTCTGTATGTGTGTGCGTATAGTATATGTATATGTATGTGTATATACATAGATGGTGTGGCCAACATCAACCACCAAACAAAACTGTCTTTGTCATCTTTAGCTTCAGGTCCTTGATCGTGGCATTCTGCAACAAAACGGCTTCTCTACATACTTTGTGATTGGAAGAGTTCATAATTCCTAGCTCAGACTCCAGGCATTTCAGGGAATACATGAGGACAACAATGTTATAGGCCCCTGTGCTTTTGCACATCTGCATAGTGCCTTGATCTCATGAAAACACGCGTTTCGTGGAGGAAATGCACAAGGTCATTGTTTTGTGGATGGTTTTTGAGGGGTCAAGCCTACCAAGAGTGTCCACACAATGTCGTTGTCGGCGTTATTGCCACAATGGCATACCAGTTGTCAGGTGCTGCAGAAATCAAAACTTGCGCCACAGCAATCACAGCACAATGTTTTCAAACAGACTTCTTGGCGAACAGGTTTCCCATGCCACGGCTTTCAGCATGTCAAAACTCTGTTAGTGCACGAAACGAGGATGAAAATGAACTTCATGAAACGGAAGTGAAGATGACGTATCATGCATTTCCCCGGCAAAATGCACATTCTCATAAAACGATGATGAGCATAAAGTGCATGAAACAAAGCTTTAAAAAAAATTGAAGTTCATGAAGCGAAGAAACAAACGTCCTTAACCGCCTTAACCTCCACCCAACCTTCCACCTCATCCCTCAGCAAACAGAACATCATGACTCATGGCGTGTGGTCAGAGAACTCAACATTACATCAGTGGAAGGTCCCAGAAAGGGCCACAAATGCCTGGGCCCATTACACCGTTGACATCACAGCTCTTGCAAAGGTCAACCACAGTCTGCAAACGCAAGCGATCCTGCCTCGCAAACAACCTGGCCCAGGACGCAGCCGCTGGATTATTTGACAAGGCTGCATCAGTTTATGCAATTGGATTGCAACTGCCAGCTTCTGTACCTACATTATCCTACATTGCGCCTTAGACTTTCTAGGTCCCAACATCCAGAACTTCTGCACCACCCCGCACCTGCGGAGGTAGGGCAGCGATTGCTTTCCTGAGCTGGCCCATGGATTGCGTGGGCAAATCTACAGTAGGGTCATACAGTCGGTTTCCAAGAATTCACTCACAGTGGTATCCATTCGACAGAGTTCCTAGTCTCTTCTTCCAGCACTTCTTCGCCTTGGAGGCGCACAAAGAAAAAACACATGTCAGTTAGGAAACAATGCTGGGACACGTCTCATGAAAATCATGTGATGAATTGTTGACATTGATGTATGGACAAGGGGCGCTCTTTCAGCACATCATTGGCCTCATCAACTTTCTTGTCCATTGAACAGTCCGCACCGGCAAGCAGCTACAGTATGCCACAATTTGGAGCTATCTGTGGGTAATACAAGGGCCAGGAATTGCATGTCAGTTGTCCATTGGAAAGTTGCTATTTCCAAGGGCAAAATGGCACTGTTTGGACCACAAATACCACGCCTGCTGAATCAAAGCCTCTTTTTCCTTCAGCTTGTCATCGTCTAAAGCTTCTGCACGCTGCATCAATGCCTTGGCACATGAGGTTAGATTTCATTCGCACAGGCATGTGGGCAAAACAGCACATTTAGGCTGGGACGGAACTCTCACGTTTCATTTGTGCCACCCTTGGCACGTGGGCTGCCATATCAGATACGGGAAGCAATATCAACTCTCAGGTCGGCCATGCCTGTCATTGACTTGGATTGGCAATGGAGGTTTCTTTCGTCGAACATCCTGTCAGCATAAAGCTCTGATAAAGAAGGGGTTCCACACCAACTCACTCAGAGCTGCCACTCCCACGGTTCAGCCTCTCGCATCCGGTTGTTCTCCAAAGCCTCTAACAACAGGAGCCATGTCTCACCCGATTGACGGGATAAGTTGTGCTAGAAGCTTGCTCCCACATCGAAGGCTGGAGACTAGCCACGTTTCCCGGCTGGGCTTGCAAGATGTGAACTTTCAGAGGTCGAAAGGAAGGATTCACTGCTTGGTTGCTGGCGATGTGAGCTTCACATTCGCGAATGACCTCCAGCTGACAGGCTCACAGTGTTTCACAATCAATTTCCGGCAACTTGGTCATCTCAAACCGCCACATCGACAGTCCAGGTGCTGGGCCATCTCGATCTCACGGAAGGACAGTCGCTCGTACTCCCGCTTGAGTTTCTGGCAGTGTGGGCTTGGTTGATGACTGCGTGGCAGCTTTTGACTCAAGAGTCCAGCCCAACTTCCTGTGCACTGCATGGACGGAGGTTATACAAATCGATGTCACAAGACTGTCCCGCCAGAGCGGTAAAGCCACCTCTTGATCTTTGCTGGTTTCGGGCAGCTAAAGGTGTGAAGGCTGGGGAAGGACAAAAAATGGTTTGCGTTCTTCAAGATTGGATTTGGTTCTTGTGATTTTGCGGAAGACCCAAAACATTAACCCAGCTGACAACCCCAATGGCAAAGCATCCGCCAACATGTGGCGCAATTTTCTGCACGCGTTGTTCGTTGCGTGGCTTTTACACATCTAGATCATCGAGCACAATTCTGTAAAGAACACAATAAAGGAAATGCGTTCCAGTAGTTTTTACAACACAAGCAAAATAGATATCCAAGCTACGTGTAATTTCCATAAACCACGAAGTTCTATACAGGACAACAAAAGATTCGCCCAAGGAGAGGTATGTGTGCATATATATATATATGTTTTCGCACACGCTTGCAAGTTCAATTCTAACAAAGAATGAAGGAAACAAAGAACATATATAATAACAACAAACTATTGCCAAACCAGACAGAAAGTGCAGTTAAAGGCGAACGCATAATTCACACACGAAAGATATAAAGAATGCAGTTGTCAGAAAAACCATACCTTAAGTTCTGGCGCCAGGGAAGGTGCACTTTTGGACACGCCAGTGTAGCACTGCTTTTACAAAGTATTGCTAAGCAAAGAGGATGCTTATCGAAATTAAGCAGAAAAACTACATCTCAGCAGTGGGTGGACACGAACGATACAAGAAACAAAGTGTCAAGCAAGGAGATTTGCACACCTCGAAAACAATTTTTCACCAACACCAAAACATGTTGAAATGAAATCGCAAATTTTTGGCGCAAAGTTACAAACAAGCCCAATGCCCAAGCCAAACGCATGTTCTGTTGATCACCAAGTACTGAACAAATGTTTTCCGAATTGTCTGTTCGATCACCTAGGTGCACTGAATGCGGCACGCAATTACTAGCCAGCTAAGACCTTTTTTGTGCAATACAAAGGATGCTCCTCTCAAGCGAAACAATTTTTTTACATGTCGACGCCTAATCTATACAGTAGGCGCGGCATGATGCTTGAGCGCCAGCGTGCACTGTGCATCAGGCGTACGCACACGCAAACGCACAGTTCATACACGCACCAAGATTCAGACCGAGACACAACCACTGCATAAGCGAAACACAACCAAACTATCAGCGAACCACCGCCACAGAACCGACGCACCACCAAAACAGCAAAACAGAACAAAACACCCAAATATGAGCAAGACACCGAAACATGACCGACACACCAACCATGATCGAGACACCACCTAAGCATCACCGAAAGACACCACCGAAACATGACCGAGAGGCGACGTAAACATGACCGAGACACCACCTAAAGACACAGGGACACCACCGCCCAGGCTTGGGGCCGTGGATCCGACGGCGCCCAGCCACCTAAAGAGTAAGCTATCGCTATTGGGGAAGTATCCAGCCTGGGAGGTTTCCCTCTCCTCATTGTCAACTGCTTCATTTTCTAGATTGTGGGATATGTCATGTGGGCGATGGAAGGCATGTGACCATGGAAATCTGGAAGGCGACATTGGTTTAGGGACCTCGACGGCGACATATGCAGAGCCCTCAACCCAAATGCCCTCGGCCAAGCACCCTATTGACCCCTCTGCCTCTGCATCAGGATGCTTGTTGAGCTGCTCCTCACCACAGTACATGTCAGATTGCCACCAACAATCTCCAAGCTGTTTTCGTTGTCCGGGTCCTTCATCAGATCTGAGTGGATCCTGTCATAAAATAAGGTTTTGCCATGAAATCTGACCAGTGTCAACACCGATCTTTCCAACCGTGACAGGTGCACTTCTCACACACCGGAAATTTCCTCTTCCCGCCCAGCAGCGACCTCGCTCAAAATATGTAATATTTGCAGGTGGTTGCAAGGCGATCTTGCACCAATAGCACAAAATGCTCAGCCACCCTACCCATCCAAAGGGCAAAGACCACCAAGGTAAGCTTTGCAAACAGTCGCGTCTTTGAACCTTAGGAGTGTTGGGATTGAAAGCGGGCTAATGCAATCGTGAATCCATGAGCTCTGGTTTTTCCTGGTAAATGTTTGGCGGTCCGGCTTTTCTTTGGCATTCGCTTCGTCCTGCGCTGCACACTGGTATCTGAAGCTGCATTGAATTTGAGCGCATTCCCTAGCCTTCACCAACTGGTTGCGCCCGGGGCCCATTAGGGCATCCAGCATTGCCTGGCACTCTCGAAAACAAGTTCTTGGGCTCCACATGACACATGGCCGCAAGTCACAAGGGAAAAAACATTTAGATCGAAAACGGCCAAGTGACCCCACAGTGGAAGAGCGTGCCTATACTCATCCAAACATGTCAGGGCCACCCGTGTTTTATTCATTTTTCCGCACTGTCGCAGAGTGAGTGGCAGGAAAGGAAAGACCAACAGTGTCTGACAGCCGATAGGGTTCTGAGTCGTACGTCTGACTGCTTTCAGCTCCATGTTTTGGGCGGGTGTCTGCTGAGTTGAAAGGTGTAGGCTCACAGTATGCTGACACCGTGTTCAACATGTCAATTTTTTGAATTGTGACGTTGACGTTGCGCCCTAAGTGCTCAAGCCACAAATGCCAACAAAGTCTAAATCAAAGCAACCCACCGCAAAACCAAAACGTCTAAATACTGAAAATGTTTGAGCTAAAGTGTTCGAGTGCTCAATCTATGTTGCAGTTCCTGGTTGTTCATTCCAGTGTTGACCACACATTGCCTTGGTGGGTGTGAAATCTTGTCCCTGGTGTTTCGGCTAGGTGAAACCTCTTATCAGCACAACCTGCAACCGCCAGAGTTTGTCAACGCAAGAAAGAAAACACGAAACAAAACAGGCTGTCAGCACTCAAATTCCTACGCGGGCGACGTCGAAAATAGTTTGAAAGAATGCAAGGAAGTGCTGAAGGCCAAATCCAGTTCTCCAATGCCGGCTGGCAACCAAAGATTGTTTTCGAAGTAGTTCATGTAACAAGTTCAATGCACAATTGTTCCCTGCGTTGCTGCACTTCCTGGCTGGCCACATACGCGATAACCGAAAACACTTGAACCAAATGCATATGTGAGGAAGGGGGACACGGAAGCCAATGGAAGTTCACACGACTTCGAAATAACCCCTTGGGTCAGAATTGGGGCTGGCTGCAAGCTCCTTCTGCCGCTCCTCTGGCGCACTGGAAGCATAAACTGGTTCCCATAGATGATCCTCCTTGGTCATCGAACGGTGCAGAGATTGCAATGGCAGCCTTTGCATTACGTAGGTGCAACACGAACGAAGCTCCACAAAGTCAAACACGTAGTGCAAAGGTTGCCAACCAATCTTCCAACCCAAAAGCACCCACAACAAGGCGCTTTGTGCGGTAGCGCGTACCACCTTCAAAGGTGGTCTGGCCGAAGGGATCCCTCGAGATCAAAGCGACGACCCTAGAACATTCAAAGCTCATGACATGGTGCTGAACGATCGAACGGCCCACATTTGAATACCTTGGTTTCTTGCACACCCCCAAAACCTTCAGCAAAAGGTCTTGAACTTTGAGAAGAAAGAAGGTCTGTCATGGTGACGTCGACTGGCGGATCATCTTCAAACACTTGTGCGTTCTCTTTCTGACGCACCTTGCGAGCACTTGTGAAATTGTCCATCGTAATCGAGATTCCACTTTTGTCCGCTTACAAGAAACTTCTTCACACGATCCTGCGCAGCCACCTTCGTCAATCCGTCAGCCTTCAAAGGTGGTCTGGCCAAAGGGATCCCTTGAGATCAGAGCGCCGACCGAAGAACATTCAAAGCTCATGACAAGGCCCGACTTCCCCGAATCAAACCACTTGATGACCCCAACTTTATGACATAAATTTATGATTCAAGTGATGCCGAAAACGGTTAATTTTGCATCTTTTGGATCACAAACTGACCCAAAATGCCCTCCGCCAAACATTGAAGACACCCTCATGCCCAGACCCTATACAGCTGCAGCACACGCCCCCTGCTTTCATTTCCAAACCCAAAGGCCGTTGTACGGAGCATGACACACCCTCGTTGGGCCAGCAGGCCAGCCAGGAACATTAGAAAATATCAAAATCCTGTGGCAAAATTGGCATCGGACAAGTGCAAAACAAATATGAAATCCTGCGCTGAGGTTCTGTGCATATCCTTGGAAATGAAAAATCACAGAAGTCATGTCAGTTTGGGGGGAAGTTACTGGCAAAGATCTGAAAACATCCGGTGCTCACCTAATGCAATTTCAACCAAATGCTAAATACAGGACAACTGAAAAGGGTTCTTTAGTGTTGCCATTGTCATTGGTGATGCAGGACCGTTCTTGGTGAATGATCACTGCGAGGGGAAAGCGTGTCTGCGCATGTGGTTGCGCCGCTTGCGCCACCTGCGCCGCCTGCGCCACTTGCGCCACTTGCGCCACCTGCGCCGCTTGCGCCGATTGCATCTTCTGTGCCGCCTGCGCCGTCTGCCCCGTCTGCGCTGTCTGCGCCACCTGCGCCGCTTGCGCCGCTTGCGCCGTTTGCGCCGCCTGCAC